GTGCTCACCTGCCCGCATTGCACGCGAACATTTGTAAATAAGATCGGCTACGTTAGCCATGCACGAGCACACCAACGACAAGATCGGAGCTGAAGAGGTCGCCGTGGCCGAAATCGGTCGAGGAGATTATATATTATACAAGAGGTAGTCCTAGTTTGGGAATAACGTTTTTGAATACTAATTAAAATTCTAGCACCAATAATATAATCCTAGGAAAAGTATTAGTGATCTAGTTGAAGGGAATCAACTTTAAGAATAATGTTTACAATTATTCATCGTCATCACGGCGTCATCACATAAGAGAATCCACTACTCCCATCTTCCCGTGGGTGCCGTAAGCGTGATACTACCCTGTTCGAGCCAACCCATTCTTACTAAAACCATAATATAGCTGCAGCGTGGCTCTACCACTTATAGATCGTATTTTGTACATGGTAGAGCCATGCTGCAGCTATATTAGTAGTATAGTTGTAGCACGAATGGGTCAGCTCGACCGGGGAAGGACCACGCTCTCACAGAATACCAGCGCAAATAACAGCCTAACACTGCTGTGTTTCGTATGGTAAGTGTAGAGAACCAGAGACCCTTTTCACTGGAAATGAGGCATTCATCTTAGTCCTCACTAGATGAATGATTATAACTAGCCACATAACACTCCTCATCTCTCACCCCAGACAGATTAATGGAGTACAAATGACTCTATCATGCTTTCTTCGGGACGGGATAAAAGATTCACACATAGCCGTCTATTATTTTCGTGGTGTCAGCACCGAAAATCTAAAATCAGTATGCTCTCGTAACACCTTGTCTCAGCTATGACGGCTTAAATAAAATGTTGACGGTAAAGTGTTTTTTTATTTCATTGTGTAGACGTGCGTGCTTACCTCTTACTCCGTTGGCCAACGTGCACGAATTACATATGTTCTTGTTACTTTTTTATTTTATTCTTTTTTTATTTCCTTTTTTTTAGAAAACCTTACCTGTACACTAGGATTGTCTCCTGTATCGTGGGGGCAGTTTACATACATAAATTTCACAAGGACAAATAACGAATATTTGCTAAAATATTATTTTTTTGAAGTGAAAATTTCTTTAGGATCATTGTGATTTGAAAGTCGATGAAACGAACAAGCGACACTAAAAAGAGACAAACGTATACATCTATAAGATTTAGCCTGCGAGATAATGAGATAGAATATAGCATATTACATAAAGCTTACAATTATTCTACTCCTGAATTTCTGCATTCGTCTCATTCTCGCAAAGTTTAGTTTCCTGAAGGTTTCACTTCTACCTCTTGTGAACTGCATACTTGTTTTTTTTTAAATTGTAAGCCAGTCCTTGACGACTAGCCCACCTGATGGTAAGTGGTGATGCAGCCGAAAATGGTAAGGCGCATTGACTTAGTTTAACAAGCGTCTATTCACTTTCGCCTTGAACATGCCTAGGTAAAGTCTTTAACATCGATAAATATCTTTTTTGTTATTGGATAAGGGTGACAAGCGAGCACACAGTCCACCTGATGGTAAGTGGTTGCTGTGATCCATAGACATCTACCTCCATCTTCGAAATAAAATGCGGATGCGATGTCAGCCGTTAGGACTAAGATGGAATGCCTCTTTTCCAGTAATAAGGGTCTCTGGTTCTCTACACTCATCATACGGAACACAGCAGCATAAACCTGCTATTTTACGCTGGTATTCTGTGAGGGCGTCGACCTTACCTGGCCGAGTCGACCCATTCATGCTACAACTGTACTATTGAGATAGCTGTAGCATGGCTTTACCACGTACATACCTTAGAAATAATTAAAATGCAATGTAAAATAATTTTAATTTTTTTAACGTAGCTATAATCACACTACTTGGAGATATCACCTTTTTAAAAAAATAGGAAGAAGAAGAGAAAAAAAAACCAATGTCCGATTAGGTTAGTCAAACTACGAATCGAACATCGGGGCTAAAGCTGGTTATATACTTACTTATATACTTCAAAATTCAAAACCTGTTGATAGGTGTCTATGGACTACAGTATCCACTTACTTCTTACGTGCAGCTTAGCTTCCCTGTAGCAGCATATATGAAACGCGAGTAATTTGCGCACAACAGCCAGTTTATTAAAGCCGCCTAGTATATACTCAGCATATAATCCGCCCCGGTTGTGCACGGGTGATTTATTTATCTTGACAACAGAGCCATCTACCGGTTCCAGTTGTGAATCTAAACCATTCTTGAATCAATTAAATTTTTACGTGATAGAGCCATGCTGCAGTTTACGTGGTAGAACCATGCTACAGCTATATTGTGTTTGCAACACGAATGTGTTGGCGAGTCCGGGGTCGAACCACGCTCTCAAAGAATACCAGCTTAGTACTGCTGTATTTCTTATGGTGAATGTAGATAACCGGAGACCCTTTTTACTGGAAACGAGGCATTACATCTCAGTCCTCGGGGGTGACAACGCATCTGCATTTTGATTCTTAATTGAGGATAAATGTGGATGTCTATGGGCCACAGCAACCACTTACCTGTGGTCCTCAGGTGAACTGTGTGATCGTTTGTCACACTTAATCTATAATGAAAAAAAATCACACAAATTTCACCAAAATCGTTCCAGCCGTTTAGGAGGAGTTCAAACACATAAACTAGGATAGAAGACTTATATCTAATATATAAAAAATAATATTTGTTTGTTCGTATTTCATGCACTATGACACCGATCATCAGACTGTGGTATATCTTTGTCAACTTATTGCTGTCACTTGCGCAATGGTTGTAGGTATAATACAATTTTAAATTAAAATAGGTGGTGCGCGTATCATAGCGACAACTTCAATTATTCCTAATTAAACAACATAGTTCTTCCAAAGTTAAAACGATATTTTTTCCACAATTTATTATTCCTTCTGTGGCAGTACCAGCTAGATAAATATAAAGATAAAGATTACAGTTAATTATTTGATCAGTAGCGCCATCTATATTTAAGTAACAAAAATTAACATAACAACGCCATCTGTTGGTATAATGTCGAACTATTGTCAGCATTCAAATACATTCTCTAGCATTAAATTTAAATGTAGTGGATAGATGGCGCCTTTAATATGTTTCCTACCGAACTTCTCACAAAAATCTATACCTAAAGTTCACTGTTCTTAAGAGTACTTTGTGACTATATTATAATGATATAATTATAAGGTTTTTTTTGGCGAGAACTTGATCGGCGGCGGTTTGCTGCTCCTGTATTATCGTTTAAATAATGGTTTGAAGTGAATTTTGATATGTAAAAGTGGTGTGATTTTGTGTATTAATTGTCTGCACATGTGAACTATTAGTGGCAACGGTGAAACAAATGCTCTGATGATGATGTGATTCTCAAGATAAGATGTCTGGTTGCTTAGGCGCTTTGAGATACCATCGCCAACTATCAGCTGTCTGCTGGCTCAAGTTGCCGTCAAAATCTCCCAAGGGCTGCACAATGTGACGCATCAACATATTGTGAAGCAGTATACTATGAAGGATAATTATTATAATATATTGTAACTTCAGGCTCAGAAGGGCTAGATCCCAGAGCCGTAAAGCCAGTTATTAAGAAGAAGAAGAAGATATAATTATAAGTACACAGAGAAGTGGAATCAAAGACCATAAAAGTTCACTTATATACCACACTCTTACCAATTTCTTTAGCTAAGCAGTGCACGCATTGCTATGTTTCTGTTTATAAAGTATGCAGTCAGCACATGCATAATACTTGTGAATATGTACTGCTTGTGGGGTCTGGTCTGACAGGTCTATACACACAAAAATTCGTATGCCTAGTTTACAAAATTTGCCGTGTGATAGCCATAGATAACACATTGATGGCGTCGTAAGAAAACCATAATCCCATTTTGTCTCGGTGTGGTAACGCGATTTTGGGAAGTGCCGGAAAAATCATATGGCTTACGATAGATGAGGGTATAACCGAAAATGAGGTCATTTGCAAAAACACCCAGACCGACGATAGGCAACATTGCAGTGATAAAGATTCAAAATGTCTGGTACTATCTATAAAGGTGAAAGATTGTATCATAGATTTATCATGGATATGGACATAGGTATATCCTCATTACATTAGATTTGGTAGACCACAAATCTTCGCGAAAGAACATCAATTCCTACCAAGTATGATTCGTGAGGCTATTGAAATAAAAAAAAACATCCTCATTTCAATAGAGAAGACGGCTTGGTACCTACCTACTACCATCTGAGACCATAATTAAGGAAGTTAGAGCCAAACCCAAGTATAGCACTGCAAGACTTCAAGATACAGTCTAAGATGTTTTTAATACATCTTTGGATACAGTAAGCTTATTCTGCGTAGATAATAATTACATTGGGACGTCAAAAATCACTGCAAACGTCGGGAATTAAAAAAGTTTAAATTAAACGCGATAAAGTCCGTACCTATGTGTCGTTTTATTCCATGTGTAGCATTGGGATTAAGTTTCAAATAAAAGATGAATTTAATTAACAGTAGTATATTAAATTATGAATTAATTAAAAGTTGCTAAACACACAGAAAATACAGTACTGCCTTAATATAACGCACTTTAATATAACGATTTCCTCGATTTAACAAATTTTGAAAATCCCCTAGAAACGGCCGTAAGAGTTTATACAAAATATACCTTTACATTACGAATAACTTTTGTAAAAACCCCTTGACAATTTTTAAATAATTGCAAAACATAAATGGAAAGTATAAATAACCTCTGCATAAAAAGCATTCTGTGGCATAAAGTATTCTATGAATCCATCTTGAAAAGGATTTGTCTCGACACATTCAATTTTTCGTAAGACAATCCAGGAATTCAAACTGTTATAATGTTGAGATTTGTAGGGCATTCATCACAATGTGTTTTACATTTCTTTTAAATGTTAGACCTACCTAACCTCTATATAACAAACCTCATTGTAACAATATAACGATTTGTTATATCAAGGTAATACTGTATATAACTATCATAATTCGTCTCTTTGAAGTGTGTCGATGTTTAAATGCTTCGGTTCCCAATCTTCCTCCACGATTCTCGTTTGAATGATCCGTTTGTACACGAGAGCTGACATCCTCGCCGTTCTTTTCTTATCTTTCGACTCAAAATCAACTTCGTACAGGCCGAAACGTTCACTAAACAAGGAAATGGACTCTATATAAATCTATTTAAGTTATTTATCGTCATTTTAAAGACAGTATACCTGTTGGAATAGAATAGAATAGAATAGAATATAATATGATATAATAGAATAGAATAGAATAGAATAGAATAGAATAGAATAGAATAGAATAGAATAGAATAGAATAGAATAGAATAGAATAGAATAGAATAGAATAGAATAGAATAGAATAGAATAGAATAGAATAGAATAGAATAGAATAGAATAGAATAGAATAGAATAGAATAGAATAGAATAGAATAGAATAGAATAGAATAGAATAGAATAGAATAGAATAGAATAGAATAGAATAGAATAGAATAGAATAGAATAGAATAGAATAGAATAGAATAGAATAGAATAGAATAGAATAGAATAGAATAGAATAGAATAGAATAGAATAGAATAGAATAGAATAGAATAGAATAGAATAGAATAGAATAGAATAGAATAGAATAGAATAGAATAGAATAGAATAGAATAGAATAGAATAGAATAGAATAGAATAGAATATAATATAATATAATATAATATAATAGAATAGAATAGAATAGAATAGAATAGAATAGAATAGAATAGAATAGAATAGAATAGAATACAATAGAATACAATAGAATACAATAGAATACAATAGAATACAATAGGATACAATAGGATACAATAGGATACAATAGGATAGAACAGAATAGAACAGAATAGAACAGAATAGAATAGAATAATTTTTTTTCCATATCGATTATTAGGTACATAATTCTTATTGAAAGTCATTTTTTATCTACCACTGGTTCGGATACCTCTGTCCTGGGAAGAACCAGCAAGAAACCCAGCGGGCCTTTTTTTTCAAACATTACCTGTACCTTATCACGTCGGGATACTTAAGTGTAGTGGTGGCAGAGGGGAATGTAGACGACGACGTCCTTAGAGCAGGGGTTCCTAAACTTTTAAGGTGATGGAACGCTCAAGCCATTTAATTTTATGAAACCCCCTAATGATTACAAATCACAGACAGTGCGATTTTAGTAAGAACCAAAACTTTAATTATAAATATTTTATTAATATGCGTATTACGTCGCCGTGTACTGGCGGGTAAGAATACTCACTACCCCATATCTTCCCGTGGGTGTCGTAAGAGGCGACAGAGGGAAACTAAGGCAGAGGATGGGCAGCAGCATCTTTTTGATAACAGCAAATCAACAATAAAAAAACTGCGGTTGCCAACCCGCTCGCCAAGCGTGGCAACTATGTCAATATACCCCCCATGATAGTAACGAAGAGACGGCCCCAGTGCCCGGCGGTTCCGCTATTCCTGGCTACGGTGGAGACCATGGTAACGGCGGTGCAGGGGGTGCTAAGAATCTCCGGTGGAGGTTCGGTTGCCACCTACGACGACTCGATCTGGCAACTTATAACGCACGCACACTGATGACTGACGAGAAGATCCTGGAGCTAGAAGAAGAGATAGACAAGTTGCGCTGGACTAACATAGGATTATCCGAGGTCCGAAGAGAGGGGTAGGACACGGTAATCCTCGAATCCGGCAACTTGTTCTATCACCGGGAGGGCGACCATCTGTCCCAAGGAGGTTCCGGATTTATCGTTCACAAGTCTCTCATTAACAACGTTGTAAGCATTGGGATTTGGTCAACGAGGGTTGCGTACCTTATACTCAGAATCACCAAAAATACAATTCGCTGAAGGTCATACGGCCCCACAGGAAGTGGACCTGGTCGAGCCCCGACGGTTCGACAAAAAATGAGATTAACTTCATTATGACATCAGTTCAGTGATGTATCAGTGATCGCGAGGATGAAAACTGGTAGCGATCACCGAATGTTGAGAGGCACACTGAACTTAAACGTTAAGTTGGAGAGGTCTCGTCTAATGAAGTCAACGCTCCGTCCCCCTCGTGCTCTAATCCAAAGTCCCAAAATCTTTCAGCTCGAGCTACTAAATCGTTTAGAGTGCGTAGAAGATTGAAATGCAGTGGATGATATGAATGACAAGCTCGTGGAAACTGTCCATGAGGTTGGAGCTAAGTTTTGCAAGACCCGCCGCAGAAGAACACAGAAACTCTCCGATCACACTCTTAATCTCTTGGCTGTTAGACGGGATATGAAGCTGCAGTCTTCAGTAGATTTGACAGCATACAGGTAACTGAACAGACAGATCTCCAAATGCATGCGGCGGGTCTTGCGCAACTTTAATACTGCTCATATTGAAGAAGCGATCGAGTGGAACCAGGGCTCCAAAGTCTTTGCTAGAGATCTGTCTGCCAGACAGAGTCAACTATCGAAGCTGAAGACCGAGTGTGGTAGCGTCGTTCCAGGGACACCTGAGATTTTGAGTGAGATTGTGAGGTTCTATGGGCAGTTGTACACATCATCGTTGGAGCCACACGCAAGTGTGAGTAACGATCCAAGAGCGAGTCTTATCCGACACTATTCCGATGATATCCCAGACGTCAGTCTGAGCGAGATTAGAATTTCTCTCCAGCGCCTTAAATATAGCAAGGCCCCAGGCGAAGGATCTCCTAAATGTGTGTTGATTGTGGATTATACAGTGGTCCCAATCAACCTCCGGTACGACATACTCGGCTAAGCGTCGAGTCCGTATACTCCGCGAGGCGTCGAGGTCACCGGCCCTTAGGCAGATTCTTGGCACTCAAGCGCGTGCTGCCCTTGCAGTGCTAGTCGCGTGCGCGAGTGCTCACTTAGCACTTCCCCAACCCTTTCGTAAGGAAAGGGGTAGGCAGTGCGCCTAAGTGTTGCGGCCACCCACTATCGCTTCCGTCCGTACCGAACGTCGCGCGTCGCTTGCGTCACTCAGCCACGTTAGGTAGGGTTACAGATAGGCACTACACAATCACCAATTCAAAACAGTCGTAACAATTGTCGTTATGTCAGGCAAGGGGAGAGGGGAGCCCCCCCCACCTCACGCGTTAGGAAACCCCCGGACCGTCCCGGGTGCTGGATAGACCACTTCTGATTAAGGACCTGTCGAACCCGGAGCGCTCGAGGATCGTTAGTTCCTTCAGCCAGATCCCCAAGAAAAAAACCTACGTCGCCGCGTAAGGGGGACCCCGCAACGAGCGCCGCGCTCACTTTCACCGTGTCTGAGAGCACGAGTGGGCTGGAACTGACGCCCCTACCGCAGCGGGCTAGGAAATCGGCACGTAGGCATACTCCTCCGGAAACCGAAGCGTCGCTTCACGAAAAGAAGCAATGCATTGGATCACCCATCACTACGTCAGGACCATCATCGTCGTCGTCCTCATCGGAATCGGAGGATGAAAGAGTCCCAACCAGGAAGGAAGCATTTAGGGCGCATAAATCACCGCCCAAATCACCGTCACCACCGAAGTTTACCCCCCCCCCCCCCCCACCTCACCCGGTCGCAGGAGCATGGACGCGACCGACGCGCGAGCAGGGAGGAGAGGAGTACTATGGTTGGGACTCCACATCCTACGCGACATTAGCGACCGCCGGACATACTTCGGCACCTACCAACCCTTCCGGCCTACCGCAAGACGACGGTGAAAGGTCGTCGACTAGTTACGCTCAACTGGCAGCGATGTTAGCAGTTTCAAGGCCACAGACAGCAGATGCTGCTCAACCCCAACAGGAGGAAGAGAAGGCACGCTATCCACCCATAGTAGTGGAGTGCCTCCCGAATTTGACGAGGCACTTTGAAATCTTGAACAAGAAGCTTGGACACCCTCCTAATGCCCGTCCGTTCGTTTGTGGGGTGTTCGTTTCACCCCACAGAGCCCGGACGAATTCCGGGCTATACAGAGATACCTCATTGAGATGACGGAAAAAGAACCATCGCTGTCCTGGTATTGCTACACCCCGGCGGAGGAGAAGCCCACTAAAGTGGGCATCCAGGGGCTGCCAGTGGGCACGAATACCGTCCAAATAACAGAGGCTATTAGGGCAAAAGGATTCCTCATTAGCTAAGTGAGAGCAATCCCGCCCCGTAGAGGTAGACCTGGGTGCCTCTACTATGCACAGCTGGAACACCTAAGCCTAGAGAAGCTCAACCAACTATACGCAGTCGACGAACTCCTTTTTATGAAAGGGGTCGTCATAGAAGCCTGGCAAGGAAGAATGGGGCCGGCTCAATGCCACCGCTGCCAGGCTTTTGGCCATGCATCTGCAAATTGCCATAGACCCGTGAAATGTGTCCGCTGTGCAGGGGAACACATAGCAAGTAATTGCACACGGGGTAAAGACGAGGAACCCACATGCGCCAACTGCGTGAAAAACCACCTCAGGACAGCGGCGATCACTCGCAAATGATCGCCGCTGCCCAGTCCTGAGGAGAATTGCTAGGAAGCAGGAGATCACTCTGCCGGGACTACTGCTGGAAGCACCGCAGAGGGTCCCTCAGAGTTGCCCGAGAATAGATATGCAAGAAGACGGGTGGGAAACCATCAGGGGAAGAGGGAGGCAAAGCGCCCCCCCCCACCCGCAACCGCACCACCCGCACCACCCGTACCTATGGACCGTTCCGTACGTACGGTGGAACCTGCAACGAGAGCAACCACCGGGGCGGCTCTACAGCCTCCCGCTAATGACGCCACAGAGAGGCAACGCTCTAAGAAGAGGAAGCGGAGGAGGAAGAAGAAGAAGGTGCAGCCTCCTCTTCAGGCAGCAACCTCGCAGGCGCAGGTTATCAAGAGGACAACTATAAAAGGTAGAGCGCCAGAAAGGGCTCTATCAGGAATTAGAGCCCGCTCTACACATAGAGCGCGCTCTACCTTACGGAAAGAGACCTATACCCAGCCGAGACTAGTACCATCCACAACACCTAGACAGCCAACCACCAACACAGACACCACGGACGCAATCCTGAGGCTGGTTGGCATCGCCATTGAGGTCGGTAGCCAGGTCCTGGCAGATATCAGAGCCGGCACCGACCCAGTTACCGCAGTGATGTGAGCACTGTCATTACTACTGGCTCAGCACTACAGAG